TGTAAACAAAACATTCTCCTACATGTATATGCTATGTACAGATTCCTTCAAAACTAAAGTCACATATATGATTGATTATGGTAACTGTAGTGAAATTCATTTTAAGTACTGCAAGATACAAGCATAGTGAACTCTCTCTTTATGTTCACCTCTGTAAGGCAGATACCTGGTATTGGTCCTGGCTGTTTTTCAGTTATTTGACTAATTACCAGTAAACTAGATATATATAAGACAGACACCTCTCTAACTCAACTAAGGCAGACAACAGTCGATGCACATTTGAAAAGTGCTTTTCCTAGAGAAAAATACTTCAAAACAAAATATACATGTAGGTTGTGGAATATTATAGCACATAGCTTGGCAGAGTAAAATTTGTATTACATACCATAAACACTGGCGTATAAGCCACACCTTTTTGCTCAAAATTTTCGTATCAAATTGGGGGTGCAGCTTATCTGCGAGAACATCTGGACACCATGCCGTAAATTTGCATAAATTAACACTTTTCAGTGAAAATTTGACAGTCTGTATAGACCTGTGTAGCAAAATAATAAGAACTTCATAAACCGATACAATACACATTGATCATTGCTTTTGAGAGTTTGGTGGCTCCTAAAAGAGCCGTTTTTCTTCAAATTAAGCATCCATTAAACCTTCTTTGTCACAAAAGCTTTTAACCAGTTTACATTGTAATGTTGCCTTTCTTGAGTAGCTGAACGTCACTCAGTAGGGAATCTCCATTCCACCACAAAGTTGTTTACAGTGCCACCAATGACTGCCGACCGTTTCTTCATTACTGCCTGGTTACTAAACTANAAATAATAGGTAAGAGTTTTAGTATTTTCTGTTTTAGTGAGTTAATATGCGGGTTGACGCATTCAAGAAACTTGAAGAAATAATGCATGTACATGCAAGACATCTTTCTCAAGATTCCACTGTTGATTTATTTTAATTTCTTTCCAGATTTCTTTTTCCAAAATTTAAATTGCCAAACTCAGGGTGTGGCTTATCTGCGAGTGCGGCTTATACACCGGTGTTTACGGTAACCAAATACATTACTCCCTGTTTAAGACCAGACATCTTTTGGACAGAGGTGTATTCATCGTACATAGGTTCAACTATATTATCTCAAAATAACACTTTTTGCTAGACTACGAGTAGTCCCTCTTTCGCTTAGTCCGTCGTGC